AAAAAAAAAAAAAAGGTGCATAGGAGAGTAGTAATAACAACTAGCGTCCAGGGTTCAAAAAAAGGTTCCTTTATTCTTTCCCAATAAAATCCACTCACACTACAAACCCCTTCACTTTGATAGACTTGAGTGAAGATCTGGGGGGTCACAGGGCTGGTGTCACCCCATGGTGAGAACACAGCCTTCCTAACGGCCAGCCGGCCAGCCGGCTACTTTCACCTTCTCTGTATGTTAACCTTTTCTCCCCCTCTATCCTCTTCCCCTTTCATCTCGGTAGCAAAATCAAGTCCTCTTCTTATTTCTCAAAGCATTTGAAGGAGCGTTTTCTTTTGCTTGAACAATTTAAGCTGCATGCCAGCATGGACAATGACTTCCGACACCAATTCCCCAGAGTCAGCCAAACTTCACAGGTTAGGGACAGAGTCCTCCACAAGACTGCCCTCACTCCAGACACCAGCTGTGAGTTTGAGGTGCCCAGGCCACTCTCACTTCTGACTAGCTGGTTACAAGTTCAAGGATTCTCACTGCCCTCTCAGGTTCAGTAATGCTCTAAAATGACTCACAGAATTCAGGAAAACACTATGGTTATGAATATAGTTTTACTATAGCAAAGGATACACGTCATAAGCAGCTACAGGGAAAGATGCATAAGGCAAACTTGGGGAGAGTCCCAACCATGATGTTTCTGTCATCCTAGGGGACACATCACCCTCCTGACATGTAGCACATGGATGTATGAAAATATGCAGTGTTGTCAGCCAGGGAAATGAGCCCTGAAGTCAGATTGTCACTTGTGGCTCAAACGCCAGCCAAATTAGTTATTATACAGTGTGATGGTTTTTCCAAACTAATACTGACCCCTCCTTAAGGATTCTGATAATATTAATGTTTCAGTTATCTATTGTTATATAACAAACCACCCCAAAACTTACTGGCTTTAAACAACAGCCATTTTTATTATTGCTCACTATTCTGTAGGTTGACGGGGCTCAGCTGAGCAGTCCTGCTCCATATCGGCTGGAAACTCAGTTGGGCCGAATGTCCAAGATGGCTCCCTCAGGTGTCTGTCACCTTGGTGGGGAAAAGCTGGAAGGCTGAGCCTGTCTCTCTATGTGGTTCCAAGGCCTCTGCCTCTCCACATGGTCTCTCCACAACAGTGTAGCCAGATTTCTTATATGGTGGCCTCCGGCTCCCAAAAATGCAAAAGTGGAAGCTTCCAGCTCTTTTTAAGGCTCAGGCCTAGAACTAGCACACTTCCGCCTCATTCTATTAGTTCCATAGACCAAGCCCGTTTCAAGGGGAGAGCATGATCTATGGGAGTGAGTCCTGAGAGCGGTTCGCTGGGAGCCATTTTTGGGAACCAGCCATCACAGAAGACTTCATCATTGTTGCCATCTGTGGAGAGTTTACAGTGATCCAGGCACAGATCTTGGTGCTTTATATATGGTATCTCAATGAATTCTTGCGATGGTGTGAGGTAAAGAATATTAGTATATCCATTTTACAGATGAGAAACTGAGGCTTACTTGCTGTATTAGGGTTCATCTAAGAAACAGAACTAATAAGGAAGACCTCTCTCTGTGTATATATGTATACTGGGGATATACTATATATGTATATATCCATACTGTGTAGACAGACAGAGAGAGAGAGAGAGAGAGAGAGAGAGGGAGAGAGAGAGAGAGATTTTTACGGAACTGGTTCACACAATTGTGGAGGCTGGCAAGTCCAAAATCTGTAGGGCAAGCCAGCAGGTATAGGTTCAGGTAAAGCTGATGTTGTGATCTTGAATCTGAAGGCTGGACACTCAGGCAGAATATCTCTGTTGCAATTTAGAGAATTCCTTCTTCAGAAAACCTTAAGGCCTTCAACTGATTGGATGAGGGCCCCCCACAATGTGGAAGTCAATCTGCTTTACTTAAAGCCAACTGTGTTAATCACATGTTTAAAAAGATGTGTTTACAGCAAACATCTAGAGTAGTGTTTGACCAAACAATTTGTCACCATGATCTAGCCCAAGTGCACATATCTAAGATGTACTAGAGTTGGGGCTCAAGGCTAGCTTTTTTTACTCCAAAACTCATAACCAGTTCATCAGTGATTGCCATAATGGACCACCTTTAGAAATGAACTGGAGTACTGGCAAGAAAAATTGTTTTTCCAGGACTTGACTTCAACTCTAGAAGACACATTTTAACATATCTACCCAATCTGTCTTTTCTCCAAGAATCTCACCCACCCTATCAATGATATTTGATCTTGGTGACTCCATTCAGCCCTCACAACTATAGTTGATTTTATCAAAGTTGGCACTTGGACTAGGCTGGGCCATTGAGATTCAGTTCATACTAGAGCTGGACCGACAAGGTTGAAACCACTACTTTGCTTCTTACTAGCAGTGAGATCTAAGGTGAGTTATTTACCTCATCTGTCCCAGTCTTCCATCTATAAAATGGGGGCGATGTTAACAGTCTCTACCTCATAGAGGTATCTAATAAAAAAATTATCTAAAGCCTGTACAGTTTCAATAATAGAAGTCTTCAACCCTGACCAAAGAGACGAGTGAGGCAAGTGAGGTAAAGAGCCGCCCTGAGGTCCTGCAGCGGCTCTGGGAGGTGTGGGTCTGGTCATTAAGCCATTTCAGAGAACCTGCTCTGATGAGGTCTCAGTTCAACTGAGAAGCTCTCTTAGTAAAACAAGACTTGTGTGAATATTCATAACTATTTCAGCAGGCCCTATTCATTGTGAAGATAAAATCCACCTCGGCCAGTGTTGTTCAACAAAGAGCTCTCTTCAGATTCCTACAACCTCAGACCCTGGTGCCAGGTCCTGGGAAAACACCCTTCAGAAGGAACGTGTGGTTCCGCTCAGCTGCCAGACTTTGGGGTTGCCCTGGTGATGATGGTGGTGGCGTTGACATCTCTGTATTCCCAGGCAGCATAAATGCTCAGAATTTTTCTTTCTCCTCTGCCACAGGCATGTCAGGAAAATATACAAACCCATGGGTCTGCCAGATTTCTTATTTTCACAAAGCTATAGAGACTTGACTCATTCCCTCACCTCCTTCAAGTCTTTAGCTCGAATCATGCTCTGTTCACCACACACAACGGCACACACACAAATGCTGTAGAACCCTCTCTTACCCTGCCCTCATTTGCTCCATAGAACTTATCACTTTCTATATCCTACTTCAGTTACTTATTTTTGTTGTTCATTGATTCTCTTATAAGACGTGAGCTCCACAAGGGTGGGAATTTTTGTCCACTTTGTTCACTGTTGTGTTCCTGATGCTTGAGACTGTGCACGGCTCACAGGGGGTGCTCAGTACCCATTTGGGAAATGAATGAATGGGTGGGTGTCTGTCTGAGTGTGTTTCTGTGTGTCACGCTATGTGTATGATACATATCTGTATCTGAACGTGTATGAGTGTGTGTGGGTGCACGTCTGTGGTTGCATGTCATGTCAATGTCTGTGTCTGCTTGTGTCTGTGTGCACCTTTGGTTAATGGGGCCTGGTGTGAGGACTTGTGTCTCTGTGGGCACATCTGTTTGTGTCTCCATGTGTCTGAGCTTCTGATCTGGGTGGGATGTGGGGCTTTGATGCTGTATCTGAGTTCTCCGTCCTACTGTCTATCCTGGGATCTGAGTGAGGAGAAAGAAGACCTGGCCCTCTCTGAGCTCCCTCCCACCTACCACCTATGGCAGATTAGCCCAACTGTGGGTCACACAGTGACCTTCAGGGGAAGTTCGCAACACCCTTTTTGTAGAGTCCCCAACCAATGGGTAGTGAAGGGCAAAGCATCCAGGGGTGGGGAGGTGATAGCCAAGCTAGGAGCACTTCAGAGAAGTCATGTCAGCCCCCTTAGTAAGGGTCCCAATTATCCAGCCTGAATGAGCTGAGGTGATGGAAAGAAGAACTGAAGTTAGACTTCAGGCAGGACTTCCTCACCCTATGAATGTGAGATGAGAAAGAGATTATGTAGGTTTATGGAAGTTAGGGTTTCACAAGTTAGCAGAGGACTTGACAGGAAAAAAAAATGTCTGCTGGACCCTTGCAGGATTCCCCAGCAGTTAATGGAGGACAATACCTTGATTACTAAGGAACACCAAAGGCCATCTTAAAGACAGCCTCAAGAACAAAAGCCATGAGTCCAAAACTGATTAATTTCATCACAACAGAACTAAGGATTTCTCTTCACCAAAGGTTACCACAGGACAAAGTTACTAGACGACAGATAGGAAAAATTATTTGCAATATCTAAAACCAAGAAAGATTAATATCTAGACTATACAAGGAACTCATGCCAATCAATAAGACTAAGACAGAAATCCCTGTAGAGAAAAGAGCACAAGATATCAACAAGCAATTTGCAGAAGAAACCCACAAGGCCATCAAATATATGATGAGTAATCAAAGAAATGCAAATTAAAACAAGAAGATGTCATTTACACCTCATAGAGACTGGCAAAAAGCAGAAAGCTGAATAATGCCAAATGGTGGTGGCAATGTGGGAACTCAGGAACTCCCACACATTGTAGGTGGAATATAGCCTGGGACAACCATTCTGGAGGGCAGTATGTTCCCTTCTCAAGTCAAAGTAGCCTGTGACTCAGCAATTCTGCTCCTGGATATCAGCCTAAAGAAGTTCTCAAACAGGTCCATGATGGGGATTGCATAATGATGTCCACCTCAGCCTCATTTACAGTGATGGCTGGAGCTGGAGACAGCCTGGGTGTCCACCCCCTGTGGAGAGTAATCCGAGGGGGACATACACCAGGGAGTCCCGTCCAGCTCTCAGAAGGGGTGGCTTACGCCTGCACAGAGAAACATGAGGATGTTTAAATATAGTGCTTACAGTAACGAATTATAAGCCACTGGGAAAAAATAGGAGTCCATACCTATAATAAATAGACAAATACACACATGCGTAGATATGGAGAAGATGGTGTTCTTGCTTACAGTAGGCTGCTGAGTGCTGCCAGTAGACGTGGCAGGAGCTCTGAAGCTGGAAAATCATGTCAGCATCATGGTAAAGACTGGATCAGAAAAGAATTATCAATGGATGCTAAACTTATGGAAAATCTTTGATGAGGAACAGAATATTTGCAAAGTTCTTGACACATCTCCCCACAGATTGCTTGTTGGCTGCAAGAGGACGGGGGAAATAGTAACTACACAGAGGGCAAGTGGACAATCCCATGACTGAGTGAGCAAAGGGAGCGGTAACTGGACACTGTCACCTCCAGGTGTCCCTGAGAAGAACACATGTCACCTCTGCACTATTCCAACTGAGAACGAATAGTCTCAACCTAGTCATGAGAAAACATCAGAAAAGCTCCAAATCAGAATGTTCTATTAAGGTCCGGGACAGGGACTGTGTTGTTCACAAGTGTCAATGTCATAAAAGACAAAGGGAGGCTGTGGAAATGTTCCACATTCAAGGAGGCTAAAGAGACATGACAATGAAAGGCAAAACCTGATCCTAGACTGGCTCCTGTAATGGAGAGGGGAGACGCTACAAAAGACATTATCATGACAAAATTGGAATATGGACAGAATATGAACTGAAAGTGTGGTATCAATGTTGAAATGATGAGATGATAACTTTGCTGTGGTTATGTAACAGAATGTTCCTATTCTTACACTCCAAAAGTATTTAGGGGTGAAGGGCCAGGAAGTATGTAACTTACCCTCAATTGGTTCAGGGGGAAAAAATTGTGTGTATTTGTGTGTGTGTGTGAGTGTGTGTGTGTGTGTGTGTGTGTGTGTGTGAAAGAGAGAGAGAGAGAGAGAAAGAGAGAGAAAGAGAGAGGGGGGGAATATGAGGTAAAATGTTAAAGTATAGGGGTGTTCTTTGTACTGCTTTTATTCTTGCAGAGGTTTTTTTTGTTAGTTTGAAATTATTCACAAGTAAACATTGTTTTAAAGTTTTAAAACAGCACTTAGTAAGAAAAGTAAATGAATTCCAAAAAAAATTTTTTTTAAAAAGAAAATGAAATAAGAATTGTGATATAACGCCTTTTGTACAAATTCAAAATGCAAAGCCACAAAACAACGACGAAACACATTTGGCAAGCATCCACAGAACAAAAATGGCAGATGAGAATGTAATTAAAAAGAAATCAACCAATCAGTCCATTTGCAGAAGGCAGTCCTCAAGAGGACCAATGAGGATACTGTTGGATGCGCAGTTTCAGGATAGGGTTTCACTCCACCCTCTGCACCTGGGCTGCCCAGGTTTCCTGGTGAGATTCCACACCAGCTACTAGAGGGTTCCCCATGGCTGCCCCTCAGGGGTGTACCCAGTGTGGGTATGATTAGTTATCCAGACAGGAGAAGCTGCCAGTGAAATGCCCCAGCCAGGCCTGGCCCTTTGGAGCTTCCTGTCCCCTTCCACCACGCAGTTTCCTGACACCAGGCCCTTGTCCACAGAGAGCTCTCTGCATATAGCAGATTTCTCCGGCAAATTTTATCCAACATTTACCTAGCAAATACACTGAGCCAGACCCTGTGCTGAGCACTGGAATACAGAACTGAGGGTAAGTGTTTCCCTCAGAGGCAGAGCTGGCCTGTCACAGCCTAGGAACAGAGAATGGGGTCCAAGTTCATAGGATGTCTGGGAAGGGGTTCATAGGATGTCACTAACTGGGGAGGTCAGGAAGCTCCCTGGTAAAGAATGCTGGGCTGTGGGCCTGCCAAGTGGCTCAGTTGGTTAAGAGCTCACTCAAGAGTTTGAGCTCTGAGCAACAGCAGTTTGAGTCCGACCCGAGCTGAGCTGCCACTGAGCTGCCAACAGGTGGCAGGATGGCTCAGCTAAAAAAAATCATAAGGCTGGGCTGTGAAGTGAGGGTAGGAGTTCATAAACCCACAAAGGGCAGGGGTGTCTGAAAAGACAGTAAGGAAGAGGGGTTCCTGGTGTCCTGTGTTTCTGGAGCAAACCTGGGGAACAACAAGACCACCTTATGTTCACACCAACCTCCCCTCCCCAACCCGGGGCAGACTGTTGGAGATTCTGGGAGCACTGAAACAGGAGACTGCCACAGACTTCAGGATTGAGTGTGGCAACGGCAGACACAGTCAGACCAGAACACAGGGAGCCAGACTCTGTATGTATTTCCCTCTTCATCCCACCGGGCCCCATCCCAGCCTCAGCCACCTTCAGAAAAGGACCTGACCCTGACGGCAACATTTCAGCCCTTCTCATCATCTTGCTGAGGCTCCTGAGATGGGGAGAGAAGAGAGAAAAAAAAAACTTAGTAACAATAATGAGGACAACAAAAACTCCATAAAAATAATAGCATTTATACCAGGCTTACTATGTGTCAGGCATCATTCTAATGCTTTCCATGGGTTACAATGCCCACTCGCATCTCCTTGTCATTTTTCAGATACACCAGACACACTCCTATCACAGGGCCCCTTTGCACAGCTGCTCCCTCTGCCTGGAATATTTTTCCCCAGACACCCACATGGTTCAATTCCTTCCTTCAAATGTTTAAATATCACCTTCCCAATGAGGTCTTCCTTGACTATTCAATTTAAAGTTGAAAAACTTCCCAGCACTCCTCACAACCCTTCCCTGCTTTATTTTTCTTCTCACCACTTAACTCCTTCTAAAAATGCCTTTATCTGCCTGTGTGTCTTGTTCATTATCTGTCTCCCCACTAGAATGTCAGCTCCGTAGGGCAGGGGTTTTTGTCTGTTTTGTTCACTGTCATATCATCCCCAGGGCCTAGAACAATATCCAGCACATTGTAGGTACTCAGCAAACATTAGTTAAATAAAATGAAATCCAATGAGGTAAAAGAAATCATGCAGAGTTTCTGCTTTACAGAGGAGGAAACTGGAGCACAGAGAGGTGAAGGTATTTGCCCCAGATCACACAGCCAGTAAATGACAGAGCTGGGATTCAAAGCCAAGCAGCACTGACTTAACTATTACCCACCCTCCAGATCTGTAATGTAGAGGATTGTGACTCTTGTTCACCCAAAACTCTGCCCTTATTATCCCTCCCCATGTGGTTCAGGGAGACCAACTCCACCCCCAGCTCCAGAAATGGGCACATGACTCAAGACTGGCCAGTGAGACCATTACATTCTTTTGGGCCTCAGTGATTAGTTCAGGTATAAACATGTGACCTAATCCAGCCCAGCGGGAATCTTCTGCAGGATTTATACCACCAGGAGGGGGAAGCTTCCTGAAAATAAAGTCAGCCCAGGAAAAAAGCAGAACCCAGAGCAAGAGAGAGCCAGATTCCCAATGGCAACCTTTCAGTGCCTGGATGCAGCCATGCCTGAAGCTCATTAAACCTCTACGCTTTTATTGCCATGACCTAATATTTTTTTCCCATAAACCAGTTTGAACTGGGTTTTCTGTTGCAGTCAGAACAATCTTGATTTCAATAACAACAGCAGCTTCACTTACTGAAGAAGGGTTTTGGCAGGCCCTTACCTACAACGTCTAACTTCGTTCCACTTCAGCCTTGTGTGGATGGTGGATCCAGGATTTGAACCTAAGTCTGTGTGACCCTGGAAGCTGCATGTGTACCCACTATCGTATTCTGCATATTGGCAGGTGTGAGAAACAGATCTCTCCTCTGCCTCTCCTGCTCCCCACCCCCAGCTTATTTGCTAAAAAAATAGATCTACTAAGAGCCTGGCACACAGTAGGGATTCCAAGAATCCCGTTTATAATTCTTTAAAAACATATGGACCTTGTCTAGACCTTGATTCCACAAACCACCTATAAAAAGACATTTTTGAGACACTTGGGTGGGTATTGAATGGTATTAAGACATTTTTTAAATTTTTGTTGGGTGTGATAATGGCTTTGTAGCTCTGTTTTAAAAACTTGTTAGAGATGCATACTGAAGTATTTACAGGTGAAATAACATGAGGTGTAGAACATACTCTCAAATACTACAGTGCAAAAAAAAAAAAGAGAGAGAGAGAAAAGGTGGAGAGGAAAATAGATGCAATGAGAGAAGAGAAAGTTGGTAATAGTTGACAGTTGACTTGGGCAATGGGTACATGGAGTTCATTATACTAATCTCTCAACTAGTATGTCTAAAAGTTTCCATCAAAACGTTTTTTTTAAATTATAGCCTCCATTTATATAAAATTCTAGAAAATGCAAACTAATCTATGGCGACAGAATGCAGATAGGCAGTGTCCCAGGGTGGGGTAGAGGCTGGGAGAAACTACAGAAGTTTCTGAGGAAACTTTGTGGGGGTGATGGATATGTTGTTCACTATCTTCACTTTGGTGATGGCTGCACAGATGTGTTCACATGTCAAAACTCATTGACTTGTACGCCTCGAACATGTACTATTCCTTATATGTAATTACACCTCAATAAAGTTGAAAATAAATGTAAAAAGTAGATATACAACACACAAAGTATTAAATCAGTAGCAGCTTTAAAAACTAGATTTTAAAAATAAGTAGCTTACAAATGTATGTATACTAAGTGGTTTCAAAAATCCAATATTGGCAGCAAATAAATTATTGTGTATATGCGTCAATACATTAAAACAACATTAGCAATAGAACTTTCTGCAGTGCTGGATTCCATGTTGTGTATCTGTGCTGTCCCATACAGTAGCCACATGTGGCTACAAAGCACCTGAAACATGGCTGGTGTGACTCATAACTGAATTCTTAATGTATTTAATTTTAATTACCTTAATTTTAAATTGAAAACCCAAACGTTATTGGATAGCATAGCATAGCTTTACAACTAAAAGCTAGAAGAAGAAGGAGGAGAAGGAGAAGGAAAAAAATAAGTCTAAAACTCTTTTATAGCTGACATACACTGAACCCTACTCTGAGCTGTGCACCATTTAGTATCTTATATGAGGCATCTCACAGAAACATCTCAACAGCCCCATTTTACAGATGAAAAAACTGAGGCTCAGAAAGGGTGTACTG